AAAAAAAACTATGTACAGTATCATAATAAGTAACAATACAGCCGATAAACTATGCATTAAAATTTTAAAATATTTAGAAATATCAACAGTGTTCAGATAACATAAAAATACTTGTACCATGCAGATAATTAAAAAAAAAAAAAAAATCACGTGCTGCAAAGATTGCAGCAGTTGCCACTGTCTTCCACTAGGCTGAATACAACAGGATTTTATTTACGTTTTATTTCTTTACGTATATCTTACCTTTCACTACTATGGTGGCGTTTCGTGTGGCTGTGAAAGAATTGAGCGTAAGAAGAACGATAAGGAATTGGTAAACACCTTCATCTTCCTTAGTAACGTTATTGAAGATCAGTGTCGCCTTTTCTGATCTGCTTACGGTAATGTGTGGTTTGAATGGCTCCTTTATCGAATTTTGTGGACTACTAAAAGATAAAAAGGTCTTCTCTGCAACGCCAACAAAATGGGACCCATTATCTCGTTTCCAAATCAAATTAATGGCTGTCTGTGAAGCAGTCTGTTCTTCTGTAGTCAGGTTGTAATCCCAATGTAGAGCAACTGCGGAACCACTCCAAACGCAAGTGATGGAGTCAGGATTCTTTGTCCACGTCAGGCAAGCTGTTAAAGGGCACAAAATGACAAGAATATCGCAATTTCCGCCGTTAAAAGTTAAAATGTATCACTCCAAAACAACTCCGTACACCGTAGTAGTGTTTAGTTATTCAGCAAATAAGGAAACCCACCTGAAAACTCAATAACTGAAGCGAGGATGGTAAACACAGGGAGAATTATCTTCATAACGCTCCTCTTGTTTCCCAACATAGTTCAGCGCTTAAAATATTTCATATTTACACTCAGCTAATGCAAGTCGACAATCAAGAACGTGCCTTCTTCCTCTTTAGCGCAACCTGCGAAACTACTTTCTTTTCCACACTTGGACTTTACTCGACAAAGCAAGCACTGTGATTGGTTGATCCTTAGTCACATGTCTCTGATCAAATTCAAATGTATCCCGACCCAGGCGGTGTGCGCACTCTGATTGCGTTGTCGTAAAACAAAAATCCCGTTATTTGCATCTTCGATTCCACCAAAGAAGTTCTCACGAACGCGTCCAGCGAAGTAGCGCGGATATTCGTGGATTGTAATGGGGATTCACTGTCTGTTGCTGTTCCTTCGAGAGTAAAAAAGTTTGACGGGCCTGTGCGACTGCCGTCATTCCTCAGTGACAAATTCGTTCTTAGAAGGCAACCTATGGAAGAGGCCTTCTGAGGGGTTTTGGTGACAGGCGACAACGCTAAAAAATGTGGCGACAATCTCTTTCCGACTCACCGACAGCCGACAAAAACTGACAGAAAAAGGGCAAGAAAGAAAGACCGCCTCCCGGTTAGCTCAATGGATAGAGCGCTGGACTGTAGTTCGGGAGGTCGAGGGTTCGAGCCCCGGCCGGACCA